CTGGCGAGCGCACGCGCCCTACAGTGAAAATCTCTCCAAAAATATACATATATATATATATAAGATGTCAATAACAGGCAAAACTGTCTATAGGGTATATGAACACTCTCTGTATTATATACTCAATTTTTCTGTAAATATGAAACTGCTCTGAAAAGTAAAGTATATTTTTTAAGAAAAGAAACTATCAGGGGGACAGCAGGTGGCATTAAGGTGCTGGACTCTCGCATGGCCAACCATGGTTCAAGTCCCAAATCCGATGGCTTACTTTCTCACTTTCCTTCTCTCTCTGTCTCTCTCTGGCAAGCACATGTGCTCTATAGGAAGGTAAAATAATAAGAATAATAAATAACTTTTTTAAAAAGAGAGACTATCCACTGTCCTTGCTAAATCACAAGCTCTTAGTTAAAAATCCAGACTATGTGTATCCAATTGATTGAGTCCAAGTTAAAAGTTGTGCCCTGCTTCAACACAGAGAAAAAAAAAAAAAGTGAATTTTGGATACTCAGTCTCTGTGGAAGGGGATGGGCCCTAACTCCTTCCAATATTCGCATAAGACTTTAAACATAGAAAAGGTGTCCACATGATCAGATTTAAATTGACAAATATCCATTATATGTGACCTATGAAACAAATCACCGCCACCAATGTCTTGGCTACTTAGAAATTCCGGATTGACCAGTGTAACTCAAAACCTGTACAACACAATAATATCTGGAGGATGTACAGAACATAAAGCAAAGAAATGAAGCAGGCCAGTTTATGGTTTAGCAGGACTGCAGACATTTTGAAATTAAGAAAGGCCTCAGGGGAACCAGCAGTTAGCGTGATGGCTATGTCGCTGGACTCCCACGTAGTCGACAGCGGTTCGCATCCCGGACCCGGTGGCTTAAAACTCACGCCGGGTGTGTGTGCATGCGTGCCCAAGATCCCGAGAGAAGAATGGAGGAGAAGGGATTGCGGCGTGGCCATACCCCCGGGGGGTGATTTCTCGCTGTCTCTCTGTCTCTCTCTGTCTATCTGGCAAGTGCACGTGCCCTATAGCGAAAACCTCTCCAAAAAAAAAAGAAAGGCCTCAGGAACAGCTGGTGACATGTTAGTTAAAGGCACTGAACTCCCACATGACTGACCATGGTTCAAGCCTTGGAACTGGTAACTTCCTTTCTCACTTTCTCTCTCGTCAAATTGGGAAATAAAAATAAGTAAAGTTAAAATAAATTAATTCTTATTAAGAAAAAAAAAAGCCTCTAATGAGAACAATCTGACCAAGTGCTGAGTCACAGGGAGAGCTGTTTGAGGAATGGTCAGATGAGAGACCAGGAATGGGTATTTGAAGAAGTCAAGATAATTCCAGGAGAAAGTGATACTCTGATTAATTGTAGTGAGGAACTGTTTCCACAGGGAATGATCCTGTTGGGTGTTAAAGCAGTTCTTTTCTGGTTGTGTTTACTCATGTATTCCCCATACCTAATAGAGAGATGGGGTTCTCAATACATTTTTCTGAATTAATAAATATGCAGTCTAAGTAAAACTGTTGGCTTTAACTAAGTTTGTCTCTATTTTTCCTAAATAAATACAAACATATTCTAAGACAGAAGAGCTTCATTTCATGATGATGGAAGGAAATAAGAGTTTGTAGCACACAACTGCATGCATCCTAAGATTCCAGTCCTACATGGCTTCAGGGTCTTTCACCTTTATAATGAGAGTCATCCATTAAGAAAAACCTTATAAAGTACCATTAAAAAAAAAAAAAAAAAAAAGACTGTCAGTGAGTAGAAGTGATTGTGACCTGAAAATAGCTCTTGTTCAATTAGACAGTAGTGCCCAATCTTTGAAGATTCCCAGTCAGAAACCTCCTATCTATGAGAGCCATGAGAAGAAGGCTGGTCATTCACCCACCTACTTGGCATATTTTCCATTTCTCTTCCTCTTAATTAGCTGTATTCCAGACCTCACAAAGGCAACACCTGTAAGTGAGAATTTTCACTTTGTCTAGCTAATTAGATCAGTCCCCAGGGCCAGGAGGTGGCATAGTGGTAGGTGCTGGATTCTCATATGGTGGACCACAGTTCAAGTTCTGGATCTGGCAGCTTGGGACTCATGCCAGGCATGTGTGTGCATGCCCAAAATCCTGAGGGAAGAGTGGAGGTGAAGGGATTGCAGAGTGGTCATCCCCCTTGTGTGTGTGTGTGAGGGGGTGATTTCTCTCTCTCTCTCTCTCTCTCTCTCTCTCTCTGTCTCCCTGGTGAGCACATGTGCCCTATAGCAAATACCTCTCTTAAAAAAAAAATTGTGACCAGCAGGTGGCATTGTGGTTAAGGCACTGGACACTTTCACATAACCAACCACAGTTTGAGTCCCGGACCTGGTGGCTTGCTTTCTCAGTTTCCTTCTCTCTGTGTGTCTTTCTCTGGTCAAATTAAAATAAATGAATGAATAAATAAAATTAAATAAATAATTCTTTTAAAAAATCAATCTCCTCATGGTCAATTCATATCATACACTCTATCCCAGTTCTAGAAAGTATCATTCCACAATCCTGCCACATCTTACTGATTGCCATCTGAATCTTGAAACATTGTGTGAGTAGCAACGGAATGGGATGAAGTGATCTGAGCTTCAAGTCTAGCTATGCCATCTCTTATTTTCAATAAACTGGGGATGATAATCTTTACCATAAGTGTCATGATAATTAAATAACACATATAATTTATATATGATAATAAGGAGTACAAAGTAGATTAGCACCCCACCTCAAAGAAATCCTAGTTCCCATCTTGTTCCACCTTAGTCTACTGTTGGCCTATATTTAAAGCTCCCTGAAAGGTTTCTCCTTTCTTCCTGCAGGTGCGCTTTAACTTGTGATGAGGTTATGTCCCCATAAACCCATAGTGAGTTGAAAATATCCTAAGTGGAAAATGCATTTAATACACCTAACCTACAGAACATCATAGCCTTGTCTTCCTTACACATGCTCAAAACACTTAAAATTAGCCTATAACTGAGCAAAATCATTTAACACAAAGCCCATTTTATAATAAAGGACTATCTCATGTAATTTCTGTAATACTATAATGAAAGTGAAAAACAGAATAATTGTATGGATGCTCCAAGTATGGTTTCTACTGCAGGCTTGTTGCCTTTGCACTATCGTAGTTTGAGTTCTTTCTTTCTGCACTTATAGCACTGCACACTTGCCCTATTCAAGTACTGACAACATCATTGCTGCCAAAATCTGGTAGCCATTTCTGTGAATAATTGAAATCCAAAACAAAGAGGGAGATATGGGACTTATTTAACTATGTTCAAGTGCAGGGAGTGGCTGAGAGCTAACGAGCTCACAACCAACTCCCAGAACAGAAATTTCCAGCACGTTATATACTATCACACTCCCCATTTATCCCTTGTTATCTGTTGGGTTGTTGGAAAAGACATGACATATTTTTTCTGTTTTTCTATGCAAAAATGTGTCATGACTTTTCTGACAACCCAATATAATATATATATTTAGCTAGTTCAGTGTTTTTCTTTCCCTTATGATCTTCCTCAAAGGTTTTTGTGTTTCTTTACTTTTTTTTTTTTTTTTGGAGAGGTTTATTTGTAGGGCGCGTGTGCTCGCAAGACAGACAGAGAGAGACATAGAGACAGAAAGCGAGAAATCACCCCCCAGGGGGGATGGTCACACCGCAATCCCTTCTCCTCCATTCTCCTCTTGGGATCTTGGGCACGCACGCACTCGCGCCCGGCGTGAGTTTCAAGCCACCGGGTCCGGGACACGAACCGTGGTCGACTACGTGGGAGTCCAGCGACATAGCCATTACACTAACTGCTGGTTCCCTGTGTACCTTTACTTTTCACATGACATTTATGACTGACTCTGTTTATGTTCTTACAGCAACATTGAATCTGTTACCTCAGATTTGTGACATACATTGATTGATTGATTGAAGGAAGCTACAATATAGTTGCTTTAACAAAGCATCTGTGAGTAATCATGTTAAATGATAACATTATTACAGTTTTCCCAATTTAACCTGGCACATTCCCATCTCCTAAAATTTCTTGCCTGGGGCTGGGTCCTGGTTCCCATTACATTCTTGTGACGGATGTCTAAAGCAAGTGGCTTATGTGTCCTCTTTTAAGCAAACAGGTTAATTTCTGACCTTATTTGCTGCAATAGTTAAATTATTGATACATTAGTTTCAGAAGCCACAAGCATTACTCAACCCTTGTTTTCCTGTTACAATATTATTATGTCAATATAATCATTATTACTGAGCGTTCCCTCCTTTGTGAGAGACACTTCCTTTCCCTCTGTGTCTACACACTCACCAGATTTCCTCTTACCTCTCAGAATAATCCTCTTCTCTCTCCTTTGCAGACCCATTTTCTTGATCCAAGGAGTGGTATCAATGTTCTGGACCCTCTCCTAATCTCTCTTTCTCCAATCTCAATTCCACTCACAGCATCAATTGCCATCTACCCAATCGACACAAATGTTCTATGTTTGGATGACATCTCTAAGATCCAAACGCAAACAGACCACCCTCATTGGATATCTCAAAGTATCTCAAATTCATCAAGCCAAGACTGAACTCATAATCTGCAAGAGTTTTTACCTCCATGCAAAACTGAGTGATCGCTGAATCAATAAATCAGTGAAGTCTATGTGGAATACACAAAACTGTATGACACTGTTAGGTCACTGTCATTTGGTTCCAGACAAAAAGGGAAAGCAGAAGGTAAGGAAGGTTTTGGCCAATTTCCTCCCACGAGACGGAGAAAGAGCGATAGATTTGACACTTTAGTTCCCCAACACTCCAGAAACCCAAGCTAGTTTGTCTGCTCCAGGGTCTCACGAGAATGGGGAAGGGGCGGGGTAGGGGGCGGGGCCAGGGAGGGTCCTGGTCTATTTTACTGACCTACCACGGCGGCTTCTAGGGAGCTCCTTCCACTGCTGGTGCGCGTGCGCGGGAGTACTGGCGCTGCGCCCGGGCGTTTGTGAGGTTCCGCACCGCAGTGCTTAAAATCCTGGTGAGGTCTGGATTCTTGGTTTAGGTGTCTTTACCAATGCGGTCTGCGGCTGCTCCTAGCAGAACTCACACGTGGACGGGACTGGACTGAACCCTGGCTGGGAGCGGTGCTCTGCAGGTAGGACCGGGTCAGCAGGCCGTGGGCACGTGGGTGTGTGAGTTGGAATCCCAGTGAGGGTGTCCACACTGAGAGCGCGGTGCTCAGCACGTTTGCAGTTACCTGTTTCCAACGCCGGTTCCTGCAGGAGGACGCCAGTGGTCCCAGAGAAGTGGAAGCAGCGCCCGAAGTTAAAATACATGGGAAAGCAGAGAGAGAGGACTGGAAGTGAGAAACCGGGCGACTGGGCTCCGGGAGCAGTTCTGCTAAACCTGAGGTTTCCCTTCACTGCTGTGTCCTCTTCGGTTCTGGGATGGGGAACGCTCCAGACATGTAACCTGCTAAGTGCATCGGCTCAGCTGGTTTAGGAATGACTGATACTGGTGCCTCATGTAAATCCAGTTGTGACTGGATCAATGAACTGGGAGAGAAAACGGTTTTCTTTTCATTAATACCATCTTGCTTTCCCAGTCATTCTTAGCCACACCCCCTAAAACGTTAAAATCTCTAAGATTCTTTTTCTCCCATTTGCAAACTCTTTTCTGTTCTTCATTCATCGGAGCTAATCTCGCAAGGCTTTTCTTACTTCAGGCTACTGTCCTGCCTGTAACATAGGTTAAAAACATCTCTCTGGGACCAGCAGATGGTGTAGCCGTTACATTGCTGGACTCCCACATGCCTACTGGGGTTCAAATCCCAGACCTGGAGGCTTCAAAATCACAACGGGCCTGTGTGCTTCGGTGTCCAAGATACCGGGAGGAGAATGGAGGAGAAGGGATTGCAGAGTGGCCATCCCCTCTTAGGGGGTGATTTCTCATTTTCCCTCTGTCTCTGTCCAACAAACTCACATGCTCTACGGGTGAAGCTATTTCTAACAAGCCCTTAGGTCTTAAAAGCCACCATAATCTGAGTAGTAAGGCTTTATATCTTATTATTAATGCTACAGAATCAGATTTATAAGTGTATACTACATATAATAATGTATACTAGTGTATACTAGTGTATACTACATGTAATATATTTTTATTCTTGTCCATATGATTAAAGCATGTTTCTTAATTGCAAATATCTCCAATTATAGACTATCACTCTGGGAAGTGACATTCTAGATAACTTCTCCAAAGGTCTTTTTACTCAGACTCAACTCAAAATCCCTCCAGATGGTGTAGCCGTTACATTGCTGGACTCCCACATGCCTACTGGGGTTCAAATCCCAGACCTGGAGGCTTCAAAATCACAACGGGCCTGTGTGCTTCGGTGTCCAAGATACCGGGAGGAGAATGGAGGAGAAGGGATTGCAGAGTGGCCAACCCCTCTTAGGGGGCGCTCTCTCTTTCTCTGTCTGTCTTTCTCTCCTGAACCTTTCCTCTCTCCTCTCCCTCCCTCTCCCCTCCTCTCCCTCCCTCTCCCCTCCTCTCCCACACCTCCATGGGGCAAATAAAAAAAAAAAAAAAGCCTTTCTTTCTTCACAGACACTATCCCTTTTCCTATAATTAGCAGCTGTTCCAGTACCTTTAAGCCATAAAATCCTTCCAACTTGTGTCACCTGGTTATATTAATCTGACCCTTCAGATTCCTGTCACCAGAGCAGTCCTGATGCCTCCCTTATAGTGGCACTGGCTCCTCGTCTTAAATACAGTCCTAAATCTCATGGCCATTCTCAGAGGCCTCTTCAGTACTCTAGAATGTAAACCTTGCCAGTTCTTGACTTTTGTCCAGTGTTCATCACTTATAAACCATCTACACTGCTCGCAGTTTTGGACCTATCTTCCACCCTCTTTCATCAAGCTGTTCCTTCTCTGAAATCTTAAAGTGCAAGCATATCATCCTGAGCACCTCTACCTGTCCTCCCAGCTCTGTAATTACTGACACTGAGTAATTCATTAATTTATGGATATTTTTAACATTTTAAAAATTTAATCACCATACATCTTTACAATGACTTTTCCCACCACGAACTCAAAGATCACTACCATATGCATTATCATCAACAGATAACTTGTTCTTCTTGTGTCCATTAAATATTTTATCTTGATCCCTTCCTTCCCACCCCTAACTTATGTTTTAACCTATGAATCCTCACACTTTTTTTTTGCCTTCTTTTAACTTCTTGAGTTGAACACTTAATTCATCTCATTCTTGTTTAATTGGTTATATAAGGCTTTGTTATTTTTTAGCAGTAGAGCTTGAGCCGTGCTCTGTAAATTTTGATGTGCAGTGTTTTATTTTTTTAAGTTTTAGATATTTTGCAGTGCTTTAGATTCTCTTATCTGGTTGTTTTCTTAGAAGCAAAAATTTAAATTTCAAAGTAATTGACTTTTTTTTCTGTTTTGGTATTTTAAACTCAGATTGGCATGACTCCAAAAGTTGTCTTCTTAGTCACTATACATTGCCTGTATCGTGGGCTCAAAGTACAGAGAGAGAGAGGAAAAGTGAGGAAGCAACCACCTCAACCCCAAGGGGGTGAACACACCACAGTCCCTTCTCTGTTCTCTTCTTGGGATTTTGGGCATGCATGCACATGTGCCCAGTGTGTTTTTTCAAGCTGCCATGTCTGGGATTTGAACCGTGCAGTCAGCCTTAACCTCCTTGCCATCTGCTGGCTCTGTATTTAGTTTTTTTGTCTTTTTTTGTTTGTTTTTAGAGAGAGATTTTTTGCTATAGGGCAAATGCACTTGCCAGAGAAACAGGATTTGGGGTGCATACACATGCACCCAGTGTGAGTTGAAGTCATCCGGTCCAGGACATGAACTGCAGTCAACTACGTGGGAGTACAGCAATGTAACCATCACACCATCTGCTGGTCCCTCTGTATTCTAGTTTTTAATCATTGTCTCTGAACCTTAATTTCTAGTGCTATTGCCAATTTTACCTTTTCTAAAATGTTTTGCTATAGAGTATGTGCACTTACTGGAGAAAGACAGAGAGCGAAAGTGAAAAATCACCCTGCCCCTCAGGGTTACGGCCATGCAACAATTCCTTCTCCATTCTTCTCCTAAGATTTGGGGAAGCAGGTACATACGCCTGGCATGACTTTCAGTTCACCAGGTCTGGAACTCGAACTGTGCTTTGCCATGTGAGAGTCCAGCACCTTAACTACCACACCACCAGGTGGCCCTTTTCATATTTATATAACTTTAGTAGTAGGTTAATGAGAACTTGAGATGAAATTTTTCAGGCTTATCTAGTCTGAAGCCTTAATAAGCTGAATATCCTGCCAGAAGATCTGTTTTGCTTAATATTAAAGCAAAAATGATTGTGAGCTTATACAGAAGAAATATAATTGCAATTATTATTATTATGTTTTGGAGAGGTTTCTGCTATAGGGCATGTGCGCTCACCAGAAAGACAGAGATAGAAAGTGAGAAATCACCCCCCAGGGGGGATGGCCATGCCACAATCCCTTCTCCCATTCTCCTCTCGAGATCATGGGCATGGACGCACACGTGCCCGGCATGAGTTTAAGCCATTGGGTCCGGGACTCAAACTGCCGTCTGCTACATGGGAGTTCAGTGACATAGCCATTACGCTAACTGCTAGTCCCGCAGTTATTTTGTTTTTAATCAAAGGACCCTTATTGCTTATTTTAGAATATCTACCTGTGTTTGTTTCTGTTTTTTGTTTGTTTGTTTGGGTTTTTTTTTTTTGGGGGGGGCGTGGACAGAGGGAGAAGATTGGGGAAAAGGGAAGGCATATTATGCTGTTCCAAGACAGGGGCGGGGATCAAATGAGAACTCAGAATAATTTGTTTAGGTCACTTTAGGTATATTATTTACACTAGTTTGGGTCATATTTGTTTCTTTTTTTCAGTCTCCTAGGTAGCCAGATACTGGTTTTGTGTTTGAAGCTCCTGGAATTTTTGTACTTACTGTGATGTAACATGGCTCAAATCATACTGCATTTAGTACAAAGATGCTTAGCCAAAGCCTGAGAATGACTGGAGTCCTTTAGTAAAACAGATTTGAACTATACTGGGAGTTCCATTCTGGAAAATGCAGCTTCTGGACAAGCTGATAGCTATTTCAAAACCTCAAGAGCTGTTTTCGCATGAACAAAGTGAGGTCCTGAGAGCAAATATCTGTGGCTTGCAGGAAGCCATCCCTATTACAGAGACATATGACTCTGAAGCATCTCGTCAGAAGTTCAGACATTTCCAATATGCGAACGTCTCTGGGCCCCATGAGGCCCTAAGCCAACTCTGGGAGCTCTGTCTTCAGTGGTTAAAACCAGAGATTCATACGAAGGAGCAGATCTTAGAACTATTAGTGCTGGAACAGTTCCTGGCAATCCTCCCTGAAGAAGTCAAGACTTGGGTGAATTTACAACATCCAAAGAGCAGCAAAGATGTGGTGACTCTCATAGAAGATGTGATCAAAATGCTCAATGATGAAGGTGAGAATGTAGAAAATTAGAGGTGGAATCACTGACCCTTCCCATATGAAGAGAAATTACCTTCTTCCTGAAGCTAGAGAGTACCAAGCACCAGATCATGAAGAACAGAGTAACTTAAAGGAAAACCAACTCTTTATTAGACTTCTCTGTGTGTATGAAAAAGGGATTTGGTTGGACAAAATATTTTTGACTCCAAGTGGTATGACTAAGCTATATTTAGGCTTTAGTTATGATAGGATCGAAGTTATTTTCTTGAATCTGATATTACCACAGATGAAGTCTCAAAAATTATTTTGTCTCTTTTCTCTTTGAGTCAGTAGATCTTAACTCCTGGTATAATACCAGAATCACTTTTAGAATTTTTTTTTTAAAAAAATACAAGATCTGAGCCCTGACCCTTAGAGCTTGATTGTTGGTAAGGCCTAACATTATTTTTTCAAAGTTCTGCAGATGAGTCCTATCAGTAGCATGCTATTGATACTCTATGGGCTAGCCATGATGGCCCACAGGTAGCACCAGGTACCTTCAGAGCCTGGAGGCCATATGATTCAGTTCTTAGGTGGCCTTGAATATGGTGGATGCAGTTAAAAATGCTTATAATCTTATCTATAATAGTTAAGAAGCTAGGGTAGGAAAATCAGGACATAGGGAGACCCTGTCAAAATTATCTATGTCTTTTACCACCTCTCATAAAGAAGGGGGACAAATTATAATTAAGAGTTGCTTATGGGCAAAACTTATCTCCCCTAACATTTTCCTTCATTTTCCTCAGGTACACCTGTCAAGGACTCTGTCCTCCAGAAAACAGACACCAACTCACTAACAGACAAATCCCAGGTGAATTAGGGTTCCACTCATTACTGGAAATGCATTCTTTTTTTAAAAAAAATATAGCCCACTTTTGCCTTTTTGGTCTTTGAACTTTTGCCCAACATACTTCCATCCAAGGACATGAAACTGTTACTCTCCCACAAGACACTGGACCTATTTTAGGTGGTAATATGGTCGTTGGAAAATCCTTTTCTTAGTCCTATGTATTGGGTTGTCAGAAAAGTCATGACCTATTTTTTCTGTGCAAAAATGCATCAAGACTTCAGATAACCCAATATTTTCCATGCATCTGTTCCCTCAAAAATATACTCATAAATGAAAGTATAGAATTAGAGCATACCCAGAGAACATTTAGAATCAAAAGTGGGGAGGAAGGTCACAGGTAGAAAACTGATCAGTGTCATTTATTAGACAGAAGGAACCTCAGCGTATACTGAAGAGCAAAGACCAAAGACATAGAGGAAGACCAGAAAAATATGATGTTATCAAGGCCAAAGATGAGACCATTTAAGAGAGAAATGCTTTAAAAAGGCAGGACAGTACAGCCTGAGTAGTAGTCATGATTCGCTTATGGAGATACTGATATTTTTGGGCATAGAAACCAGGTTGCAGTGGATTAAGGAAAGGGACGGTGAGGAAGTATATACAACAAAGTAGACTTATTCACAAAGATTGATTTTGAAGACGAGGAAGAGGAGTGACTTGTATATTTCAGTGTGGTTTAAGGTGCTAATCAAGGTAAGGTTGAGGGTGCTAGAGAAGTGGAATAATTGATGGTAAAGGCTGGAGGGAGTTTATTCATTAACAAATATTTGTGTAGTGTCTAACATGCTGGACACTGTTCTAAGGGCTGAGAATATGACTGGTAAACCAGATCCCTGCTTTGTACAGACTATGTTCTAGTAGAGGTATGCAGGGAAACAGAAGCAAATAAGATAATAATTATTACAAAGAAAAGAAGCATAATGCAGTCGAGACTGATTAGGAGAGTGGCTGCTGTTGATAATCAGTTAGTGTCACCTGTCTCACCTGGAAGCATTAAGCTATGTGACCTGAATTCCTGTTCAGGAGTTAGCAGGGGGCATGTCTCTGCTAGAGAAAATGCCCTACCTTTTCTCCCAGCAGATCCTATGCTTTGATCACAAATTTCCCTCAAATCTACTTTAAAATCTTGTCCTGAATTATTTTTAATGTAACTTCTTTGCACTCACAAGTGATTTTTTGTTCCAGTTGATCCATTTGTTGGCAGTTATTTTAACTTTTTTTTTTTTTTTTTGTAGAGGTTTTTGCTATACGTGCACTTGCCAGAAAGACAGAGAGAGACAGAAAGTGAGAAATCACCCCCCCAGAGAGGATGGCCATGCCACAATCCCTTCTCCTTCATTCCCCTCTGGGGATCTTGGGCACACACGCACATGGGCCCGGTGTGAGTTTAAACCAACGGGTCCGGGACTTGAACTGCCGTCAGCTACCTGGGAGTCTAGCGACAAAGCCATTACGCTAACTGCTAGTCCCTTTAACTGCCTTTTCTACTCAAAGGGTAAGCTTATACGGAATAAGGATTGCCCTTTGTTTTCCTTTTGCAGCCCTCACTTAGTTTTAATATCAAGTCGATTGATTCTTAGTACACCTTGATTTTCATTACTTAAAACCATATACCTTGTCCTATCATTTTCTTGTATATTCTGGCTTCTACCCTGTTTTCTCCCAAGTTCATTCATCCTCTGGTAATATTTTTGGGAGTGACCTTTGATTAAAAAGGAACTTAATGTTTTAGGACCCAGTGACATTCAACGATGTGGTTGTGGAATTCAGCAAGGAAGAATGGGGGCACCTGGACCCTGCTGTAAAGAGCCTGTACAGGGATGTGATGCTGGAGAACTATAGGAACCTGAATTCATTGCATAAAGGTGGCATCTCTGTATTTACCTCCTTTGCCCAGGTAGACTCTATGTCTCCTGTTTAAGCCATAGAACTGCTGGGCTAGTTATGTTCATTTGGGCCTGGGTTCATGTTCCTAATATCCTTTGGACACTGTAACAGATTTTCCTGCACCATGTGGTGGAAAGGCCTTGCCGAAAAAGAGCCAGAAACACATAGATTCATGGTGCTCTATGGCCTTACTCTTTTGGCTTCAACTACTCGGTTGTGATGGGTTATTTTCTCTGTTTAAAAAAAAAAAAAAAAAAGTCTGAAATGTCATGTTTGCTTTTCATTTTCCTCATGAACAGCACACCAATTTCTCAAACCAGCTGAGATCCCCAAGTTGGAGGGCAAGAAGAAAAGATGGATAATGGAGGGAGAAATCCCAAGAAGTACTGTTTTTGGTAAGAATCAGACAGACATGAGGCATTTGTAGAAGCTTCTGTATGTTAAACGCACAAGGTACAATCCAGCTTTTTCGTTGTTAGTTGGTGAGATGACAACAAAACTGTATAAAGTTTAAAAGAAAACAGACAGTATTGCCTTTTGTTCACAATTTCTTATGTTCCAAAATAGTGTCATAGGTTCAGGCTGCTGTGTGGCCTGGGCAGCATTTCTGCCAGTTTCCTCATCTGTAAGAGTCAGTTATAGCCCCAGCCTCCAGGTTACTGTGAGGCTTTAAGTGAGCAATACACATAACATTCTTAGGACAGTGCTTGGCGCATGGTAAATGCTGAACAAATGAGGAAGCAAGCTGCCAGGTCCAGAACTCGAGTCGTGGTCAGCCATATGGGAATGCAGTGCTTCAACCACCACGCTACCTACCAGTCGCTCCTCATCCTTTTCTGTACTTAAAATTTATATTAATCTACAGTCATAATCTTTCACAAAGTATTAATAAGAATGAAGCAAACATTACTTAGACTGACACTAAATATTACTCTTTCTTTTAAAGAAAACAAAACAGCTTTATACTAAGTGACTTTTAGTAATCTTCTATTTTTCCAGCTTTTACTATAAAACTCCTTAACTTGTGCCTTCCTGCCTCATCATAATCTCTTCATTCTTATTAATACTTTGTGAATAGAGTATTACCATTTATTGATTATCACCTAGCAAACACTGGGTATTATTTACCTGAATTCCGTATCAAGTTGATAGGCAGATTAGTTTCTCCCTAAGATAAATAGCTCCCTCTAGTGTCCTTTGGACCTCATTTTTCTCTGCCTTTTCTCACTTATATTTTCAGCATTTCTTGCCTTACCCTTTCGTTAGCTATTTGACATTTTCTAGTCATTACTGACTTTTTTTTTTAAGAATTATTTATTCAATTTATGTATTTTAATTTGTTAAAGGGGACTCATGCTCACCAGAGAGATGGAGAGAAAGTGAGCCACCAGTCTGGGACTTGTACCACAGTCGACTGTGGAATTTAGCACCTTAATCACCACACCACCTGCTGGCCCCCCCATTACTGACTTTTAAGAACTTTCTCTCAACCCTGTATCTTTTTTTATATACTACATTTTTCTCCTCCATAGCCAACTTTCTCAAGGTATTTTATACTTAGTTTTAATTAATATATTAAGATTTCATATACAGTCTTTATGACAGCAGTGAATGAGATATCTCTGAAGAGTTGGGAGGGTTTCCCTTAATTTTATTCATAGTATCTGCCATGTTTTTTTAATTGATGTCATCCTGTATATATCCCTTATTGTTTAGTATCTTAATTTTACATAGAAAAATAAGTCATGACTTTCCTAACGACCCAATATTTAAATGTAATTTATTTCCCCTAATAGCTAATGGATTGTGGTAGGTTAAAAGCTGCCCCAAATCCTTGTAACTTTTCTCCATTAAGGTATAGACTTAGGGAACAGCAGATGGTATAATAATTACATTGCTGGACTCACGTCTAGTCAACCACAGTTCAAGTCCTGGACCCAATGGCCTAAAACTCACGCTGGGCACATGTGTGACATGCCTGAAATGCTGAGAGGAGAATGGAGGAAAAGGGATTGCGGCATGGCTATCCCCCCTGAAGGATGATATCTTGCTTTCTGTCTCTGTCTCTCCAGCAAGCATACATGCCGTATAGTAAAAATCTCTCTTAAGGGAAAAAAAAAAAACAGATAATGGACTTACTGGGCCAGCCTATGGCATGGTGATCAAGGCAGCTAAATCTCACATGCCCAACTTTCAGTTTAAGTCCCAGACCTAGCAACTTGAAAAAAAAAGACATATATGGACTTATTTTTCCTTCCCTTTGAATCTGAGCTGCCACTCAGACTGTTTAGACACTAAAACGCAGTGGAAATGACACTTTGCAATTCTGATCTAGCCTATAATATGACCTGGCAGCTTCCATTTTTTTCTTGGAAGTCAAAAACCACTTATTCAAGTATCTTGATATACCATGCAGAGAAGACCCACCTTAGCCTCATGGAATGTGTGTGCGTACACATACATACATGTATACATTACACACACACACACACACACACACACACACTTTACAATTTCACCAAATGATGCATTGCACATCTAGGTTTTAAAAATAATGGCCCAAGTCTATTAGAGACAGAATAAGGTAAATTTGGATAGAAAATATATTTTTTCTTTTTTTTTTTTTTAAATTATTTATTTATTTCCATTTGTTTTGTTTTTGTTATTTTTTTTTCTTTATTTGATGAGAGAGAGAGAGAGAAAGGGAAAGTGAGAAAGCAAGCCACCAGGTCCAGGACTTGAACCATGGTTGGCCATGTGGGAGCTGTGGCCAGCTCCCTTATCCACCACACCACATGCTGGCCCCTAGATAGAGAATATAAAGACAACTTTTGTAGAGTTTAACTAACTAGTTAGAACCTGTGGATTTTAGTCTATAAACAAAGATAAACCACAGAAGTGACTTAAGAAACTTTCAGATAGATCAAAGAAAGACAAAGATGATTTGGCAGGGGTTGATCTCCAGGAGTGATGTAGATAAAGATCCAGCATTGCGGTTATAAACTAAGGTTTAAAGTGTCCATTCTTGTTTTAGATTACAGGCAGGAAAAAAAGCACAGTTTGCAAATTTGGAAATAGTGGTCAAAAATAAGCCAGTGATTTGAAATTTAGTGAGAGCAAAAGGAAAACAAATCATGTGGTAACATGTGTAAAGGCAATTAATTATGCAAGTGGTAATAGCATTATCACTAAAATCATCAGATATTAGATATTACAATCACTTAATATTGATCTGAAAGGCTTCACTAATGTCAGAAAAATTAATGAAACAGAAATGAAAAATTAGAAAACAGGAAAAAAGTTATTTGCAAATGACTACTTTAAAAAAACAAAGGATCAACAGATGGCATAATGGTTGTCATTCCCACATGGCTGACTGAGGATTGAGTCCTGGACCTGGTAGCTTGAAACTCACTCTGGACATGTGTGCATGCATGCACAAAATCCTGAGAGGAGAATGGAGAAGAAGGGACTGTGGCATGGCTATTCCCCGGGAAGTGATTCCTTGCTTTCTGTCTGTCTGTCTCTCTCTCTCCAGCAAGCGTACGTACCTTGTAGCAAAAATCACTCTCTAAAATAAATAATAAGATAAATTAATTAATTAATTAAATTAAATAAAAAGGTAAAGAGACACTGCACCAAAACTGTTACGTCTGTTAAGAGTTTTATATGGGGGACCAGCAGTTAGTGTAATGGTTATGTCACTGGACTCCTATGTAGTAGACCGCAGTTCAGTCTGGACCTGATGGCTTAAAACTCACTCCGGGCACATGTGCGTGCGTGCCCAAGATCCCAAGAGGAGAATGAAGGAAAAGGGATTGCGGCGTGGCCATCCCCCCGGGGGGTGATTTCTCGCTTTCTTTCTGTCTCTCTCTGTCTGTCTGGCGAGTGTACACGCCCTGTAGCAAAAACCTCTCAAAAAAAAAGAAAAGAGTTTTGTATGGTGGCCTGTTAACCAGAATAATTTATATTGACCTAAAACAAAACAAATTTATATCTGTTAAGTTTTGTATGGTGGCCAGATATAAAATTAGTAGCTATCCTACACAGTAGAACTAAATGACTTGAAAATGAACAACATGAACATGATTTTTTAAATTGGAGTACAGAATTTACATGAAAAATTGGCTATACAAACACAAAAACAACAAAGATTTACTTACAGAAATACAATTAGGAATTTTGCTATTAAATAAATACTGCTGGATAGATTACGTTTTTAGTTACTTATTGCTTCTTTCTTTTTCCTCCCAGTAGTCAGTGGGTGTGTGCCTTCACCAGAGAAGGAGAAAGCATCTCCCAGTGGGATGTGGTCCCGCCACATTCCCTTCTCCTTCATTTCTCCATCCTGTGAGGAATTTGCTGGTGTGTTTTTCAAGCCTCCAGGGCCAGGATTGAAACTGTGGTTGGCCACATGGGATCCAGTTACCTTAACCACTAAGCTATGTGACCATCTTGGCTATCTCTTGTTTCTAACAGTTACCCCTAAAACATGGTGAACTAAAAGAGCAATCATTTTATTCTCAACTTTTATGACTTAACTGAGGCATTGTGAGGCTCCATATGATGTTGGCTGAGGGTTCGATGTTCAGGGGCTCCTGTGAGATGGAAAGTGCAGGGTGGCATGCTGCATGGTTTGAAGCAGATGCAGCTCTCTCTGGGAGCTTAGCTGGTCCTGTGGCCAGAGCACTTACATGTGGTGTCTCCTTGATGCCTGGTTGTTCATGGGTAAGGAGAGGACTTGGAAGGCTAGACTCAGAAGGGGCACCTATCACTTCTGCCACATTTTGTGGGTGATCAGCTAGATTCAAAGGGAAGAAAAGTAAACTACTTCTGTTCAGGAATAGTGACAAAGCATATCCAGCCATTTTGATCCACCATAATCTGTTCTTTGACCATAAATTATCTGTGTTCGTCTTTGTAATGTATATTACTTCTTCTAAAACCCCCAAGAGTTTTGGCCTTATTGTGGCATCAAGCTTTAAGTCTAGGACCACATCATCTAAATTAGGTTCAAGTTTGGAAGAAGTTGCTCACTCTTTCTCTGAAGACATGAATTAAAGGCAAATTGCTGGAATTTAGAGTATACTGAGTGTATTTATATAGAAGCTAAAAAGGCAATTATTTATTATTTATTTACTTTTGAGATTTTTGCTATAGGGTGTGTGTACTTACCAAACAGACAGAGACAGAAAGTGAAAAATCCCCCCCCCCCCCATAGTGGATAACCATGCTGCAATCCCTTCTTCTCCATTCTTTTCTCAGGATCTTAGGCACACACGCATGGACATGCTCCTGGCCAGAGTTTTAAGGCACTGTGTCTGGGACTGGGGTCGACTCTGTGGGAGTCCAGCGATGTAACCACTACACCATCTGCTGGTCCTTGGAGAGAGGAATTTTGAGTGGGGAAATGAAACATTATTAATGAAACAGAAACTGAAAGCAGGTTAAAGGAAGAGAACCCAACCTTAATCAGAAAGGTAAAGTTCTGAGTTCTAGAAAGACAGTAAAAAATTGTCAAAGCACTAGTGTTAGAATTGGGAGTTATTGGGACCAGCAAATGACATAATGGTTACATCACTGGACTCCACATAGTCAACCGTGGTTCAAATCCCAGACCCAGGGACTTCAAACTCAAGCCGGGCACATGCCCAAGATCCCAAGAGAAGACTAGAGGAGAAGGGGTTGGAGTATGGCTATCCCCCTTGGGGGTGGGGGCAGTTCTCACTTTCTATCTCTGTCTCTCTGTCTCTCCAGGAAGTGCATGCTCCCTATAACAAAAATCTCTCTCTTTAAAAAAAAAAAAAAAAGGACCAGCAGATGGCATTACAGTTACGTCACTGGACTCCTATGTAGTCGACCTCAGTTCCAGTCCTGGACCTAGTAACTTAAAACTCATGCCAGATATGTGTGCTTGTGTGCCCAAACTCTTGAGAGGAGAATGGAGGACCAGGGATTGCAGCATGGCCATCACCTCTGGAGGGATGATTTCTCTCTTTCTGTCTGTGTCTGTCTGGTGAGCACACGTGCCCTATAGCAAAACTTTCTAAAACAGGCAAATAAGAATTGGGAGTTATTTTGAGACCAGAGAAAGAATGGTGCCTCTCTGCTATCTTATATTGCAGTTTTTTCTGCCTTTACTGTATACGTGGAATGATTGTAGCTGAACGAAAAATAGGGGCACTATGATTGTAGGTTTGCATTAAGCTACTGGGTTGTTGGAAAAGTCGTTATGCACTTTTGCATAGAAAAACATAAAAATACTTAAACTTTCCCAGTGACCCAATATTTAAGGTATAGGATGTGAGATAACTGACAACATCTTAAAATCATAATTAGCTGGCATTTTAGAAAGACGTATTTATTGGGACCAGCAGGTGGCATGGTGGTTAAGGCGCTGGACACTCCCACATGGCTGACCACAGTTCAAGTCCTAGACCTGGTGGCTTGCTTTCTCACTTTCTCTCTCTCTCTCTCTCTCTGTGTCTAACACTGGTCAAATTTAAATAAATAAATAAATAAATAAATATATAATTAATTTTAAAAAAAGAAAGACGCATTTATTTTTGGTGAACAGCTTGTATTAAAAGACACCAGAGAAAAGAACTTTAACTGAGCAGTTATGACCAATGACAGCTTGTATGATAAGCTTGTATTGACCTGAACCCTGGGTATTCTCCTTGATACTCCTAAGTAGTTTTCCTAATGTTTTATGATTTCCTAAACCCCCCTTTTAACATTTTAATATTTTCTTTTATAAATCTCCACTTCTAACCTCACCTCACATTTCCATTCTGTATTTAAGACCTATGATACTTGCATATACTTTCATATGGTTTATCCTTCCTTTCCTAATTAAGCAGTTTCTCTTCTAGTTATTAGAATTTTTTGTTTCTTTTTAGACATGGGGATTATTTCAGAAAACCAAGATTCAGTTCCAAAGCAGAGTGTTTCAGGGGAAGAATCATCCCGTGGGGGGATGATGGGAAGGTTTACCGGAAGTGGACACCTTTCTTTAGATATCTGGAAAGGTGAGTATTGGTCATATAGGAACCAGAAAAACCAGGACATAAATTTGCCACAAGAAACTTGTATTCACAAAACAATCAACTGTGAGGAAGAACAAGACTTTGAATACAGTGAAGATAAAAGCTTTGATATTGATATTAAATCAGTTAACTTAATTCACGATATACTGCAAGTAATTCCACTGAGAAACGGATCTCCAAAATGTGATCAATTTAAATCTACCTTTAAACTTAAAAATTTAGACTTAGTAGGAAAGCAACCTGTACAATATACTGACTGTGAAAGTGCCTTGAGCCTGAGTACAGATAATACTCGACATCAAAAAAGTCATACCACAGCGAATTCCTATGACTGTGATCAATGTGGAAAAGCCTTCAGCCGAAGTTCATCCCTTATTCGACATCAGATCATTCACACAGGGGAGAAACCTTATAAATGTAATGAATGTGGGAGATTCTTCAACCGACGTACAAACCTTACTAAGCATCAAAAACTTCATTCTGATACAAAGACCTATGAAGGCAATAAACTTAAAGTCTTCACTAGGAGTGAAGACAATGATAAAAGTGTACAACTCCATGCTGAAAGTAATCCTTATGAGTGTGTTGACTGTGGAAAATCCTTCAACCGGAGCTCCTCCCTTATTCGACATCAAATGATTCACACAGGAGAGAAACCATTCAAGTGTAAGGAATGTAAGAAAACCTTCAACAGGAGTTCAAACCTTATTAAACACCAAAAACTTCATGCTCGAGATAAGTCCTGAAATAGAAAGAAATATGGGATTACCCTCAGTTGGAGTGCAGAATTCACTCAACATCCACGAATTTATGCTGGAGTGAATCCCATGAATATAATGAATGTAAGAAGACATTTGTCAAAAATTTTCTCTAAATTGTATAACAGAATTAATATTGGTTAGAAATCTGTTGTTGGGTAGAAATCTGTTCAGAGAGCTTTCCTGGCTCCTAAAAAAAGCTACAAGGATTTAGAGTTAAACATAATATTACCAGGGGCAGCAGGTGGCAAGGTGGTTGAGGTGCTAGAGCCTGACATGACTGACCATGATTTGAGTCCTGGACCTGGCAGGTTTCTTTCTCACTTTCTCTCTCTGGTAAGTGCTCATACCCTCTAAAAAATTATTTTTAAATAATAATAAAACAAAATAAAATAAATCTTAAAAAAATTAATGGGGCTGGCAGATGGTGTGGTGGTTAAAGGTGCTGGGCTCCCACATGGCCGACCACAGTTCAAGTCCTAGACCTGGTGGCTTACTTTGTCACTTTCTCTCTCTCTTTCTCTCTGATCAAACTGGAAAGTAATAATAAATAACATTAAATAAAATAATGCTTTAAAAAAAGTAATTAAATAAAGCATTGCCACATAGGTCTTTGTCTATTATTTTATATCCGTTACCCTTTCCTTTCTCTAGTTCATAAATAGGACTTACATATATTTACCTGATTTAAATGATGCAGTAGATTTTGAGAAGGAGCCAAGCAACATCCTTGGAGTTCATATTAAAACTCAAACTGTTATTAGTATAGAAATTTATATAACATAAATCAACATTTAAAAATCCTGAGAGAAAACAACTCTGCATGTAAGAAATTCTTCAGATGTTTATTCAGCAAAGTACTTGTTAAGATGTTACATATAATGGATTCTAACTTTTTAAAAATTTTTTGTTCTTGTTTTTGCCGTAGGGTGTGTGAGCTCATCAGAGAGAGACAGAGACTGAAAGGGAAAGTGAGAAATCACCCTCACAGAGGGGATGGCCAAGCCACAATCCTTTATTTTCTCTGGTATTTGGGGTACACGTACACACACACAGACACACACACACACACACACACACACACCCAGAGTGATCTTCAAGCTTCCAGGTCTGGGACTCAAACATTTGCCTGTGTGGGAGTCCAGCACCTTAACCACCTTATCACATGCTGGCCTGAGATTCTAACATTTTAACACATATCTTGGGTCTAACATTTGACCTTTTAAGATAGGCTTTGATTTTTCTTTGGGTGGTTGAAAAAATACTATCATTTTTAAATTATCTTTTCTCTCAGCTATTAAAGTAAAATACTATTTTTTTCTAAATCTCTAAGCTCTTTTAGAGAAAATTTGTTCACTATGTTCATTAAGTTACATATAATGTAACTTCAAATAATACCTAGAGTGTATCTAATTTTAATTTTTGCAGAAAGTATATATAACCAGTTAACATCTTCACCCTGCCTTTTCCCATAAGCCATCTGTTTAATAATTTTAATGTTACTCTGTGGGACCTGTAGATGGTGTAATGCTTACATCGCTGGACTCCCACATAGCCGACTGTTTCGAATCCTGGACATGGCAGCTTAAAACACTAGACACATGTCATGTGTGCCCAAGATCGCAAGAGAATAAAGGAGAAGGGATTGTGGCATGGCCATCCCCCCTGGGGATGAGGGTAGGATGATTTCTCGCTTTCTGTCTCTCTGGCGAGCACATGCGCCCTATAGCAAAAATTGCTATGCTTGGAAAACAGAACTGGTTGTAACTAGATCTAAAATGAAAATTGATAACCAAAACATCAGTGTTAGCAAAAAGCCAAATATCATAAAGTATTTCAAGAGCTAATAAGCTAATGAGGCCCCAAGTGTCATTGGACAAGGTCTTTGCTCTCAAAATAGAAATTAACTCAGACCGCAGGTAGGCTTCAGACCTAGGCTTTACTGGGGTTTATGCTGGCGCTCAAGGGAGCTAGAAAAAAGTTCCAGCCATCTGGCTTAAGGTTGGGAGTCTGGAGTTTTTATCATAGCACATACAGCAGAAATTTCCTTAGCACGTGCACAGTGGCAGTTCATTGTCTTCACAGATCACATGTATCATTAGCATATTAGATCTCTGCCCAAGGTTGTGATTCTTTTAGTCTGGAAATGAGTTCATCTTTCAGTCACTTTTGGTCCTCTCTCTTGACTGCTACTGGTTCTGGTTGGTTCTTATAGTTGCAATTTGGGGACATCCTGCCGAAAGTGCTAAAAACATTCTTTACTTTTGATCTCATAGGGCTCTTGTTCTTCACCTATCTCCAAAGGATGTCTGAAGTTTCCACAGGCATCAATATGTTGTAATAAGATACAATCTCAATATTATCTCAAGGGGCCGGCAAGTGGCATGGTGGTTAAAGGCGCTGTCTGTCTGTCTCTCTCTCTCTCTCTGGCGAGCACACGCGCCCTATAGCAAAAACCTCTTCAAAAAAAAAAAAAAAAAATTCATGGATAGTGTTTATGAAAAGTGCGTATGGATTCCAAGTTTTTGCACCGAGATAGTTTCAAACATTAATGTCATTTTTTCCAGGAACTCTTTTGACGCCCCTTACAAGGTGGTAGGTACACTTTTATCACACACATCCCGTAAAAGGGCTGTGGAAGCACAAGATTCTAGAGACCAGGTTTGGCAAGATCTCCAAAAACAGCCATGTTTTGGGAGATACAAACCTACCAGAACCCCCAGCCCCTAGGAAGATCAGGTGGACCTCAAACTGCTCCCACCAGCTCGCAGAATAAAATCCGCTGGCTCAGCCTCTAGTGGTCTGAGCTGTTTACAACTCCTCCGGCTGTAAAAGTTCAAGGACCAGAGCCGGGGCGAGGTCTTTAGCGTGGGAATCTATTAAACATTCTGTAGTTTCTGCCCATCGATAAAAACGAGGAAATCAAGCCTCAGGCCCTGCTCGCCCTCGAAAGCCCGTTAATTCCGAGAGTGACTGGCAGACCGGAAGTCTCAAATAGCCACTAGCAGGAAGAAAACCTGAGCCTTTCCCTAAAGGAACTTGCAAATTCAACAGCCTCGGGTTTATCTCGGCGGGAAGCCAAGTCCTGAGCGCGCCTGGACCAGGCAGGTCCACCGGAAACGGAGCCGCGGGGAGCCTGCAATCCGTGAGTCCTGCCTGCGTTGTCCTCGCGCGCACGCGGCCCTGGCTCCCA